GACCTCTAGGGGGGAAAGTCGACACACACTTTGTCTGAAAAATGAACCCTATGGGGACCAATTTTTTTTTTCACAAAAACTTCACCAGGCATATCAGCAGGCCTTTTTCTATTGATTGCAATGCTTGTGCCTGTGGGGACCGGATTTTGGTCCCCACGAGAAAAACCGGACCCCACGATGTGAGTGAAAAATCAGGTTTTGGACCCCACCATGTAATAAAAACAAGAACACACACACACACACACACACACACACACACACACACACACACACACACACAAACCCCTCTGTTGTTGTGAAAGCTTTCATCCCAGGTTATATGGATGATAAAGCAAACATCTGGGCCTCCTCTTCATCTGTCCTGCTCGAGTGGCTGAACTCATCTGCCTTGCTCCTGCTTTTCTTTCTCCCTGATGCTTTTCTAACGATGCAGGTGGAGACTGGGCAAAACCCACGGCTGATGTTTACTTTACAGAGTAGTATGTATACATACCTCTGCCCATACACACACCTATCCACCAGCCATGGGCAAAGCAAAAGGCACCAATTCAAATAATCTGCACTTAACGTACCTTTAGAGTGCTCCCAGACGATGGTGGGCGGTGGATAGCCTTCAGCAGAGCAGTTCAGAGTCACAGTTTTCCCATAAATCCCATCTTGGTCCTCTGGCTGAACCACAAATTGTGGAGGAACTGCTCATAGACACACAGAAGTCAGGAGTTTATCTCCTAAAGAGACAAATGAGCTCTTTCAAAGGGACATCCTGTAAGGATTGTGCCATCTGACCTCTCACAATGAGCTGACTCTGGTGCTCCACCACGGCGGCCTCATTGCGGGCGATGCAGGTGTAGTTGCCGTTGTGGTCAGGTGTCAGGTCGTTGATTCTCAGGGAGCTGGTGAAGTCGATGTTGTCGACAGTCACACCCAGGCTGATGGGAATCGGCCGCCCATCCTTCTGCCATGTGATGTCCAGCGGTCGGTCACCTGACATGACCACGCAGGGGATGAAGACCCGCTGACCAATGGTGAAACGCTGGAACTCAAAGGGCTGGATGTAGGGAGGTACTGCAGGTAGGAGGAGAAACACACAGGCCAAATGTGGTGGTAGAGTTAATTTTAAAGAGTAATATCTTGATTTTTTTTTCAGAAACAAGTGCTGTATCTATCTTTTAAAAAATTAAAAAATGGCAAACATTTTCCAGAAAAAAATCGACATGTTGAAAATATTGCAAAAGCTACACAGGTTTTTATATCTGTAACAATATTTCCTGCTGACAAAGATAATGTTTTTGTTCATGCCTGTGCGTGTGTTTGTGTGTGGGTGGGGGGGGGGTGGTACCCAAGTTTTTGCTACATGGTGGGGATGATTTTTCTGGAAAATGCAGCCTCGTGGGGACCGGATGCTCCTTGTGGGGACCAAAGCTCGGTCCCCACAATTTTGGAGGCTGATTTTGGGTGTGGGGTTTGGGTTTAGGACTGGGGTGTGAATTGAGTTTAGGTTAGTTTTAGGGTCAGGTGAGGTCAACCTGTGAGGTTAATTTTAGTGTAAATGTTCAGGGTTAGGATATAAAATTACCAAAAAATGAATGGAAGTCAATGGAAAGTCCGCACAAGGATAGAGAAACATGGTGTGTGTTGGGGTGTGTTGGGGTGTGTTCGCAAATATGTCCTTGTCTGCATTACCAAATTATCTTATGAACCAGTAGATGGATTCAAATTAGTAATCGCTGGATGTACATTATCTCTACAACTACCTTTTTTTTTGAGTCAGCCAAATTTAAGCTGGTTGTCACAGTCAATTTACTTACTTAGCAAACTCAAAAATGACAATGGACCGGATTTTGAGTTAAAATTTGGTGTCGTAGTGGCTGAGTATTTGACACCAAGTGTCTCAAACAACTAGACATATTTTAGTAAAACGTGAGGAATGTAGTAATTTCATAGATGTCTACAATGGATTCACTTTCACAGTCATCCCAGTTCAATAAGATCGTTTAACTGACATATGTGACAGCAGCACCTGAAGCCACACAGTAAACAAAGCTTGTGCTCATTATTTTGGTATCTTATGGTTTTTGTATATTGAAAATATGCACAAGTTTCACAATTGTTAAATGACTGAGCATATAGTATATAGATTATTTTTACACTTTTTCAACATTTGATATTGAGTTTAATTATGTGCACACATTTAGTTAACATTCTTTATCAAATCTTGTATTGAGTTTATTTTGTTACTTTGCCTTCCTTTGGGGTGATGCTGCTGATGTTGCCCTGCCATCATAGTAAACAGTGTGGTGGTTGCTGAGCATGRTCTCACAATRTTGCATGAGATTGTCCAAAGTGTCATTTGCAAGGTTTGACCAAAATGGTGTCCCTTCTCAGCATAAAAGGACTTTTGTTTAAAATTCATGAAAAGTGGCAGATGTTATGGGGTATGCTAGATCTTTATTTAAGTATAAAACAGTCTCAAATTGACTATTGGGTCCAGAAACAAGCGGACGGCTTGAAATAAAGACCCACACAAGTCATGCAATAATTATTTAAATTGCCAGTGCTGTGTTCTCTGGGAAATCTCCAGCCATCGCACAAGCCGTCTGCGAGAGCATCCAAGTGAGTTCAAACAACACTGAAATAAGCAGCACTTTAGCAGCTTATTTAATTCAAAACAAAGTGGAGATAATGGACTCCGGGGATCTCCCCAAAACACTTCCGCATTTTAAGCATGAGTAGAGTAAATTAACAAATGTASTCGCTCACTACGGCACCACTGGGAAGTGTTGCTTTATATCATCGCTCTCTCCTTTGCTATCACTCTCGCTTTTTCCCTCTGTTTTCTTGGCTCCGTGGGAAAGTGCTGTAAAGTGACGACGAGCCACCGTAATGGAGGTATAATGGGGAAGCCCTTTTCAGTATTACCTATTCCAGCTGTAAGATCTCAGAGGAGATCAGTCGCTGCGCTCAGGAACATYATGAATAAATCACACAGATTTAAATGTATTGATACGGCCAATGGTGATTTGGCTTGCTTAATATACTGCTCTTATTCCTCAAGGAATTCTAKCTAATACTTGTAATTTAAAAGTCTGACAATATCTATTTACTGCATATAAGTGTAGTAAAATGTTATTGTGTTCAGTTTATAACATAAGTGACTTCAGCAGCAACATCCATACATCCAAAACATTTTGAATAATTCCTTAAAGTATATTAACTGTTGCCTTGTTTGCAAATGTTAAAGGGGGGAGGGTATGATGTATTTTCCAAGCCCGTAGTTCATGTCTATTTCACAATTAAGTAACTATGTTACCTTCATTTGTTATAAAAATGTTGTACATATCAAAAATAAAATTGACTTTGCATCATAGTTTGAAATTTGCCACTGTCTGAGAACCGCCTACAGTTTCAGACACTCCCACTTCAGCACATCTTCACAGCAATGTTTCAGGGGAGGGGTGCTCTGTGTGGTKGGAGCTCTGCTGCAGACTGAGCTCCAGGGAGGAGCTTGGTGTAAGTAGGCGGAGCTTTGTACCAGCAAGCATTTAGGCAGTTACTACAGGAGCTTCAAGGATTTCTCAAACATGCATGAATGAGTCAAAGCAACACTCAAATAAGCTCAAATAAGTCGATTTAAACTGTGTGCTCGAATCATGCATTGGGTTTGACTCTCAGCTTTWGTCATTCCAAATGTTTGAAAAAAGGACTGGTGTTGTGGACATTTTTCTGTTGTCTATGGTTAATTTGCTGTGGTAGCCACCTTGTAGATGTTTGTGTAATTTGTACTTTCTGAGATCATCATAAGGATCCATCAAGTGSTTCATGAGATGTGATGTTTTGCCAACAGACAGATTTGACGKTAAAGCTGATGTCAAAACTTAAAATAAAAACAGCTCACATTGTGTAGCGCTCAAAGTATGTGTATTGTTAGGGACAATGCTCAGTCACTAATATACCAAATTTTAGCTTATATTTAAAATAAAAACAAAATTATAGCCATTTTTGTGTTTTCTAAGGTCAGTGAGCTGTGGTGGCCATCTTTGTTCAGGTTGACTCAAAATGTTAAATAGTTGTAGATGCACAGTACATCCGATGGTGACTTTCTGAGTTTTTTTTTTATAAATCCATCTTTTGGTTTCTGAAACATTTTGTTAACAACTCCTAGGACCCAGAGAAACATGATTTGCACGTGGRTTCTATAACTTCCAGGCTAAACAGCCCAGAAATAATTTAGAAATTTGCATCTTTTTATCTTTCAGTTTTAGTTGAGCARACCCTTTGGTTGAGAAGATAAATGAGGCACTCACTTCAAAAATACAATAAATACATAATAATACTTTCACAAAACTGAAGGTAGTACTTGTATTTACCAGTCTTTTGAGTTAAGACTTGATAAAACTTTAAAATCAATATAACAACTTAAAGTTTCGCAGCACTTTTGACCCTAGCCGCTGCAGCTCGATGCGCCCACCTTTCACGCGAACATGAACGCTCTGGGTCTCCATCTTGTTGGGCTGCACCATCACCTTGCAGTTGTACTCTCCTGTGTCAACCTGCTGCACATTGCTCAGCTTCAGTGTCCCGTTGTTCTCGAAGGCTCGCTGTCTGTGGTTGAACGGCAGCAGGGCGGAGTTCTTGTACCACTTGATCGAGTAGTAAGGGTAGCCGATGACACGGCAGTGAACAAAGGCGTCCCGTCCAGCGATCGCTGTGATGTTTTTCATTGGACGGATGCTGGCACGGCCTAAAGGGACATAAAGATTGAGAAAACAGGTTGTCTATGAAGACGGTGAGGAGGTGATTTTTTTTAAATGAATAAATTAAAGACTTTTAGGATTTACAGCCAAGTGTGTTTTTCTCCACAGCTAGAGATGTAATACCTGCTGAAAACAGCGGTTCTAAGATGCTGTTGCTAAGTATTTAATAGTGAAATGACAAGCAGATTAAAATGAGCCAAGTATCTTAAATAATGTTTAAACACCCGTGTAGTAAAGCTACTTATGTTTGTAATATTTTCCATTTGCTTTATACATTTAGAGCTGTTAGAATAAACACTGTTCAGCGTTACACAGTGTTTATTCTAATAGAAAGGTTAATCGTTTGAACATTTGTTTGCAAAAGACTAAAACTGGCTGCTTGAGTAAAATAAAGTACACTTAGACACAGACACACATTAACTGTCTTTCTCACCCACAACCATACCACAAAATATTTTTTTCTGGCAATTTGCAAACCACGTCCAGATATGAGCCAAACAATTAATGTACTCTAGACTTTAAGCAAGTTAYGGTAATAATCTGAAGAGACTGTGACATTTAAGAGATAGTTTGGTMATCTTTGAAGTGATGTTCTGTCAACTAAGTCTCAGCAGTGCCTGTGTGTCAACTGTACACGCAGGCACTTCCTTGGCTTTTCCACTGAGATGAAGAATGGGTAAATGGGTGCAGCAGTTTTTTATATACATAATGAACATGTGTTTCAGGAGGGGAGGGGAGTTGTGCACCACATGGCACAGTCGTAAGTCACTAWCTTTAAAAAACTGAACAACTTATTATTGAAATGAGCGAATCCTGAAGATCCAGCTGCATTCAAAGTGTCGTGTATCCCAGATAATGGCCTGTTTTGTGTCATTTTTCAGTCTTTTAAAACAACTCTGTTGCAAACAACTGAAACTGTTCACTTTGTGAATATACAGTATGTCTGCTGTAGCTTTATTTCACAATAGTACACCTTTTGAGAATGAGTTGTTTTACAACCCTGTAAAACCTGTGTAAAACAGTTCTTTGTTTGTTGTCAGACACCCGTTAGTCTAGCATGGATACAAGCTTGTGCTCTTTTTTGTCCATACTCTGTTCTTGTTATGGCTCATAAGGTAATAATTATTAATAAGCCTGATGCTCGTGAACATTTTAAGGTTTAATAATGACATAACTAAACTATTACAAAAGCAAACCAATAATATGAAACAAAGTAAAACATATATATTAAAATAAAACATAAAGGCATATTTAATCCCAGCCAACAGCAGTCACTCTTTGACACACGGACACACAGGTTGTGTATTGTTGTTCTTGGAGGAGCTGATTTGACAAGCACCTCTTACGTTTATTCGAGCCTGGTGGTACACGACCCCGGCCGAGTTGCTGCACATGCACCGGTACAACCCGCCGTCCTGCACCTGGGTGTGTGTGACATTGAGCTGGCTGACCACGTGGCCCTCGTGGGTCTCGAGGTGGCCCAGGTGGTGGTGGCTGTCTTTGATCACRGGGTCGTCGTCCAGCGACCAGCTGCACCGGGGAGGCGGCGTTCCTTTGACGTTGCAGACCATGAAGAGGGGCTCGTTGGGGTTCACCACTTTCTCGCTGAAGGAGGACAAGATTTTTGGAGTACCATCTGCGTCGGGGGAACAGGRTGGAGCGTAACACAAAAGATAAAATTAATAGTTAAAAACCTTTCCACAGAACCCCACAAATAATCAACAGTATCCTTTTCATACAGAAATAGTTGTTTTTATATAGAAACAGTTCTTTATCCATAATTTTTTTWAAAAAAATGCATAGATAGAAAGAATGTTTATGTATTTAATATATAAAACTTAATTGAGACAATTTTTGATCAGAACAGGCCGTTTAAATTAGTTTTATTTTTATTTAATTTTTGAATATGAAGTAGAATGGTGCTTTCTCAAATAACAAATTTACAAACTCATTTTTACAAAGGCTTCATAATTTAAAAAAGCTTTTCACAAATGCCGGAAGCTCTTCTTTTCACCGTTTGTTTATTTTTTAAATCTTTTAGTATCATTTGTCGCTTTATGAAAAGCATTCTTCCTAAAACCTTTAGTAAAACAGATAACCAAAAAGAAAAGAAAGAAACAAATCCTGCCTTATTTCTCATTAGGCCTTCACTATATCCTGCTTCATCTCAGACTCAAGGAGTGTTTGGCTTTTAAAATGTCTGTCTGCTGTTTCTCTCTGATAATCTCCATCTACTCCACGTGGTTTATAGATTATCAATATCTTCTTCCAACAGCTCCCAGACCAAAGGAGATGGTTGCCTGAGCAACGCTGCTGAGGTAAGATACTGGACAAAAGTGTGCTCGTGCGTTTGTGTTTTGAAGCGGGATGAAATGGCAGCACAGCATCCAACCCATTCTCACTCCCGAGTCGTCACATATTGACGTTTTTCAAAGGTCCCTTTGCGTCCAATTTTGACGCATCAGGTACCCCC